ATATTATATAGTTATTATTTCTTATTTAGAATGAACGAATTAAATCTTATTATTTTTATTACAGATGAAAAAGTAGCTCTTTATTTGCCAAAAGCAAATATTAGGACTTTGCCTCAATAAGAATTGCTATAAAGAAACTTAATATTACTCTAAATGCTTAACTTAGGTTCATTCAGATCATTTAAGTGATTGTATTGAATTTGCCATAATATTGGCAAATATCAATCAATTCTTAGAATTTGGGATGAATCATTTTAATAAATCAAAAAAATCTTCAATTATATGAGAAAATATTAGAAAGTATGAAACTAAATCTTGAGCATGAATTATATCTGCCTTTTATGTCATAACTCAGACTATTTAAACAATATTATTCAAGAGAAAAAGAGAAAACGATATGTATTAATTTGAGAAATTTCTTTAGAAAAATAACTAATAGAACTCAATAAAGTTCTAAATACCATGGAATATAGAGTAGGAGGTCAGGGCGAGAATTGAAGCAAAAATAGATTTCTTAATAGGTAATTTTAAAGATTAAGTAAAATAGGCAGAATATTAGTTGATGAAGGAAATATTAAAGTTGCTTTGGAATTTTTTGATGAATCAATTCAAAAATTTGATTAAGATGATAATGTTTATTAATGGAAGGGTAGTATTTTAACCTATATAAATAGGTTTCGTATTAAAAGCAATGAAAATGAATATAAAGAAGCTATTGAGCTTTACGATAAAGCTATTTCAATAAATTAAAATAAAGAGCATGCATGGTATAATAAGGGAAATAAACTTAAAATATTTCTAATTAGGTTCTGCATTAGATCTTTTAATTATTATCAATAATCTATTGAGTGATATGATAAAGCCATTTCTATAAATCCTAAGAGTTATAATTCATGAAACAACAATGGTAATGAAGTTTAACTTAATTTTATCTAGGTTCGCATTAGATATTCACTGATTCGGCCAATATGTATAAATATAATGAAGCTATCGAGTGTTATAACAAAGCTATTGCTATTAAATTCAATATTGATAGTGCATGGAATAATAAAGGGAATAAAATTTGAATATTTTTATTTTGGTTTGGCACTATAACAATTAAAACAGTATTAGGATGCTATTATGTGTTTTGTCAAAGCCACTTTCATCAATCCTAAAAATGAATATGCATGGAAAATTTAAGTTTATAATCTTTCAATATATTTTTTCTTTAGGTTTAACTTTAAACTGTTTAAATAAATATAAAGAAGCTATTGTAAGTTGTGAAAAAGCGATTTCTCTAAATCCTAACAATGATCATGCAATTGTGTATAAAGGTTTAATTTTCCTTAAGTTAGGATTTGCGCTAATTCACAAACTACACAAGATTCCACTATATTGGTTAAAAAAATATTAGGAAGCATTATTGTGTTATAATACAGCTCTTTCTGGTTCTGGTCATCATATGAAATTAAAACTGAAAGGTATTATTTCTTAATTATTTCAAGCTGATTCACTAAAATTATTAATCGAAATATTAGCAATATTCGAATTAGGATTGAAATCATAAGCTAAATTTTTATTTTGCTGCTTTTCTTCAAGGATCACCAGAATCTGAATATATACATGAACATTTATAATAGTGTTGAAATAGATAAATATAATTATTCAAATCATTTCTCATATATAAATTATAAATCGATTAGTTAATCACAAAATTAATAATTTAATTTATAGTATAAACACTAAATTTTAATAAAGTTTAAAAAAGAACTATTTTATTTAAATTTGATTCAATATTCATCAAGACTCATTAATATTCGATTGCCCTTATTAAGGTTTGTATTTTAAGTATTCATTTTTCTAAAGTATTTTACTATATCAAAAATGATATAGATTCGTCAATGATTATAATTTCAATTACCTATATTAATTCCAGACACTACATTTTATTATAATGGTGCTATTTTTTGTTGTTCATTCTTATAATATTTTGTTTCTCAAATGTACAGAATAATGGGATTGACTGTGTTGGAGATTTTGATTCAAGATGTGATCAGTTGATAAAATTGATTGAGAAATTTAAAATGATTACATTTCTACTTAAATTAATAATTGCATGCTTAAAAAAAGTAAAAACTATCCTATATTTTTAATAATAAAAAGGGTAAAATGATTAAACAATATTTAAGGGAAAGTTTAAAGGAAGCATTTTGAATGTATGTGAGATTAACCCTAGATTAATTTTTCTCTAGGTTATGAGATTGCCTATCAAGATTATTTTACAAATGTTATTTTGTTGTTATTTTGAATTATTGGTAACATGCTTATAGATAAGGCTATTCCTTAAATTCTATCTTAAATACCTCATTATGATTGCATCAGCCTTAATAAATTGCTGGATAGTTATTTCACTTCTAGAATTTATTAATAAAATTTCTTATTTCAAAAATTTTGCAGCTTATACACTAAAAGATTTGATAAATAAAAGTGCAGATAGAGTAAATTGAAATATTACATATATTAACTTTCATTTAAAATAATTGTTTTGCTAAACCCAACTAAGACTTATTTTTGTTTCGTAGAGGATATATTAGTAAATAGTTCTAAAATGTGTAATAATGATTATAGATGCCTCAATATCTCAACAACCGCATTTCACACCAAATTAAATAATTTAGGGTAGTATTTATAATCTGAAGATATTTGGTTAATATTCTAATAAATAACCAACACAGAATAATTAAAATTTGGAGATGAAATATTTATAACAATAAAGGATGTGATATCGATAACATTTTCANTATTCGAATTAGGATTGAAATCATAAGCTAAATTTTTATTTTGCTGCTTTTCTTCAAGGATCACCAGAATCTGAATATATACATGAACATTTATAATAGTGTTGAAATAGATAAATATAATTATTCAAATCATTTCTCATATATAAATTATAAATCGATTAGTTAATCACAAAATTAATAATTTAATTTATAGTATAAACACTAAATTTTAATAAAGTTTAAAAAAGAACTATTTTATTTAAATTTGATTCAATATTCATCAAGACTCATTAATATTCGATTGCCCTTATTAAGGTTTGTATTTTAAGTATTCATTTTTCTAAAGTATTTTACTATATCAAAAATGATATAGATTCGTCAATGATTATAATTTCAATTACCTATATTAATTCCAGACACTACATTTTATTATAATGGTGCTATTTTTTGTTGTTCATTCTTATAATATTTTGTTTCTCAAATGTACAGAATAATGGGATTGACTGTGTTGGAGATTTTGATTCAAGATGTGATCAGTTGATAAAATTGATTGAGAAATTTAAAATGATTACATTTCTACTTAAATTAATAATTGCATGCTTAAAAAAAGTAAAAACTATCCTATATTTTTAATAATAAAAAGGGTAAAATGATTAAACAATATTTAAGGGAAAGTTTAAAGGAAGCATTTTGAATGTATGTGAGATTAACCCTAGATTAATTTTTCTCTAGGTTATGAGATTGCCTATCAAGATTATTTTACAAATGTTATTTTGTTGTTATTTTGAATTATTGGTAACATGCTTATAGATAAGGCTATTCCTTAAATTCTATCTTAAATACCTCATTATGATTGCATCAGCCTTAATAAATTGCTGGATAGTTATTTCACTTCTAGAATTTATTAATAAAATTTCTTATTTCAAAAATTTTGCAGCTTATACACTAAAAGATTTGATAAATAAAAGTGCAGATAGAGTAAATTGAAATATTACATATATTAACTTTCATTTAAAATAATTGTTTTGCTAAACCCAACTAAGACTTATTTTTGTTTCGTAGAGGATATATTAGTAAATAGTTCTAAAATGTGTAATAATGATTATAGATGCCTCAATATCTCAACAACCGCATTTCACACCAAATTAAATAATTTAGGGTAGTATTTATAATCTGAAGATATTTGGTTAATATTCTAATAAATAACCAACACAGAATAATTAAAATTTGGAGATGAAATATTTATAACAATAAAGGATGTGATATCGATAACATTTTCAATGGAAGTGGTTGTTATGCATTTTGGATTATGGAAAAAGATATAGTATACCATTTATTGGCTATCTTTTTAGTGGTGGGTGGAGAATATGATTAGGTAAAGGAGGTTAAAAGATTGGAGAGGGGGATTGATGAATAATACGGTTTATCATTCTTAAAAAAACTTAGGATAGTAAAATTTGAAAAAATGTTGTAGATGAGATATTTGCAAATTGAGGGGTGGATGGAATTTATAAGCTATAATTTCAGGGATTTATTTTAAATCCCTTATTAGTAAATATTGTATAGGGAAAAGCTCTGATGCTAAAATTTTACATAAACAAGAAGGAAAAGATGAATTCGAGTTAAATGCAAATATTAACTATATAATTGTATAATGAAATTTTTGATATGGATTGATTTAAGTAATATCATTTTAGTGGTTCAAAATATATAAGATAGTTAAAAATAGACAATCGGATTGGAATCTTTAGAGATAGATAATTAGATCAAAACCCTTAGAAAATCAATTTTAAATTATATAGGTTAAAATGATTATCAAATAATAGAAAATTTCATACTATTAATTATAATAAAATGAACTTATAATGAGACTTGAATTTAGTTAAAATTCCTATTAATTATCCAATTCGTCAATGCATGTTATTTCAGAACCCTATTTCGACATTAAATATCTTCCTTTACAATAAAATTTTTCTTATATAATTAGACTTTTTTTTAGAGATTTTTTTTCTTCAGAATTATGGCAATATTACTATTATCACATTTTTACATACTTTAAGCTACTTTATCTGTGAAATGCTTCTCATATAATTGCCTGCAGGTTGTTGGGTTAGTTGGCCGTAAGCTAAGGGATATCAAATAATATAATTAATTTGGCCTTCCTAAGTTCAAGAGCAATTATGTTGACTCAACAATACTGGAAGCAAATTGGTTTGGCAAAAGCACTTATTCTCTAGCATTAGACCAAAATTTATTGGTAAGTGTATCAGATGCTGTGGTACAATACTTCTTTTTGTAATCACATTAGCATAGTATAAATTGATTTGATTTGATAATTAAAATTTATAATTCAATTGCGAGTGAATTGAGTGCGTAATTGTGTAATGCAGTTCCAAAAAGAGAAAATTGATTTTATGCATGACTAAAGTGTGAAAATTTTAAAGTAGTTAATTTAGAGCTTAACTAAAACCAGCGCACCAAAGATTTTATTAAACTTAATTTTAAGAATTTAATCTTTGCAATTCTCACTTTAGGTAATTGGCGAACATATGATCGATTTATTTTTGTATTCTATCGATAGTAGTTAGAAGCTAATTACGCAATTGTATTGAGTCAAAGCTGAGCGATTTGCTTACCAAAGTACAACCTGAATTTAGAACAGTCATTTTGATTTGATAATTCTGTATATCTAGAAATAGGTTAAGAGGCTAAGAAAAAATTAAAAATTAATTTAGACAGATGATCCTCTAATGTTTTACTTGTTATTAATTTATTTTATTCAGAGCAAATATCTTTAACTATCAACAGTAGGTTATATTTATCGTCTGTTTTCTGGACAAATTTCTCTCCCATTAGCTGATCACACCAAAAGACTTCAATGAGATAAACAGCAAACCTATAATCATCCATGCATCAAATACATCATAGCCTTCTTGATAACCTAAAAGCTTAATTCCTATCACTTTACAAGGTATCAAATCTAGAGCAATATTATAAAGGAAATGTAACCCTTTCTTTTCTCCAGCTCCTTCAAAGTTTTTAATTCTCTGTACTGATAATTTAACATCTCTTTTTAGCACCACCAAGAAGTTCGAATAAGCAATTCTGCTTAATCTCTAAAATAGATGTCTGCATACAAATTATGGATGTTTAGAATTGCAAATTCTTTACATATTGCTACACTCTGGTGTGTCTAAGAAATAAATGAAATCCCTCATAGACTTCCTAGCTTGATTAGAAAATACTTTAAAACTAGAAAACAATAATTCTGATTTTATTGCCATTTTAGCTGCATTATTGCTTTTTTCTATCGTGAATTTATCTCTGTAAAATTGCAAAAGAAAGCTATTGTATAAAACAAAAAGTTCATGTAAATTGGATTTTAAATGCCAAAAATTTTATTATCATAAAATTTAACTTTAGAAGTTAAAAATTAAGACCATAATTTTTGGAAAATAGTATATGTCTAAAATCTCTTTCGTTTGGCCATCCATTTCGTTTAATCAAAAGCATCCTTTATATTTTACAATAGTCTATAGTTGTAACCTTAATAACTACTTATATTTTGATTCAAAAAAAAATGGGGTTATTATTCTTCGATATGTTTAACTACGCTAAAGATGTTTCAATCCCCTCATCTCACTACTTGTCCAGTTTGCCTTTCAAGATCAACTTATTTCTTTCAGTTACTTCCTAATAGCACACCTCTTCATATTTCTCCTAAATATC